AAACTGCGGATTCAAACAAGTAGCTGCATTATAATATAGACTTCATACTCATATATGATTCGCAACCAGTTTCAAGTCTTTGCAAGTTGAGCTTCAAACTTCATACATACTTAACGTCACTGAACCCAACAGCTATCTACAAATTAGCCCACTGAACAAAGCATTGGGCAAAAGTGCTACAAATGCTGCAGGAAGTTTGTAATGCAATTTCAGCTTCAGAATGAAAGATTCTGAATAAACACGCAAAGAAATAAAGGATAAAATAGATCATTGTAAATGTGTGTACATTTACAGAAGATTTTCTGGAAACAAGCAAATGTTCTCTTCCAGTAAGTGAAAACTGGATCTTCCCATGACTCACAAAATGTTTTATTTGATTTAAGACAAGAGGAGCAGAGTGCTCACCTGACTTTCCAGGTATATAAGGTTCCTCTGGAGATGATGGAAGAGAACATCAGTCTTCAGTAGCCAAGAAGGAAGGAGAGAAGAAATAGGAAAAGTTTGGTAGACACATTAGTACAGAGGCAAAAGCAGGAAAGGAAAAGACAAAGTTACAGAGGAAGAGTTCACAAAAACAGAAGAGAGAGAGAATGACAGCAAAGAATTTGAATCTTAACCTCAGTTTATGTACAATCGTCCCTAAATATCATTATGGCTTCGTTGCAATGATCAGAGTAAGAATTTAATAATAGTTGGTAATGAGTAATCAGTAAAAATATCACTCAATCTGTATGAATCTGCATGATAGAGCAGGCACGCAGGACTTCAGTGCACGGTCGTGACTCAGAATTCGGTGAAACATGGCACAAACATCACCGAGGTCTATATCACACGCATTTTTGTAAAAACTTGGAGTTGCAGTTTGTCAGGAGCATTCTGGACTTTTTCTTTAACTTTCACATGGTTGTGACATTTTTTCTACCGGAGGCATGTGCTAGGAGCATAAACGACTGTGGCGAGGTGGCAGCTGGGTGCCCCTTCATACCAACGCAGAGCTTTTTCATTCTTCACCACGACTGACATGTTGGAATCAGCAGTCCAACTCCATCCTTTTCAAACTTCAAACAAGATCCAGCGCCACATTAAATCAGGCTATGGCTTTGCTTTGGTAGGCACACTCTCTAAATTTAAAACAGGTCTTGACCTCATCTGCCCAGTAACAAGGTGACTAATGTAAAAATGTACAAGTCACATTTTATTGTCTTTGGGAATGGGAATGTTCAGCCCACTCATTGGCCAGACGTGTCTGGGGCGGCAGCAGCAAAAGTAAACACAGGAAGAAGGTGCTGCGTTCTGGACTGTTGGAGAACACAAAGCATTTACGTTCATTTGCCGTGATCTGTAGTTCTTTCCTGCACTGAGAATATGAAGCATATTGGCTACGGATGTTTTTCGCTCAAACTTGTAATTTGGATCACTTGGTGTTTCGTTCACATTCGCACCATAAATGCACCAGTCTGGAGTTCATCTGGGACCGTACGGAGAGCGTCTTCCAAAGCATCTTGGTGTGGTTGTTCTGGTCCACAGCCCAGCGCCATTTCTGTGTTCACACTTGCACAAACCAACTGCAGTAGGGAAAACGAAGCAGAGCTCGATTTAAACCGAACAAACACAAACTCGCTCAGCAAACTGTCCACATAAGTCATTAAATTAATATTATAATCTGATATCTATTTTTGTCATGTTCCTGGGTCCGCTCTCCAAATGTTTGTGGCTTTCTCGTGTTTGTTTCGCTCATTCCGATGAATGTTATCGCTCTCGTAGACTGAGTTTAGCATTTTCACTGTTTTCTGGTTTCGTTTCTTAGTCAGATCCTGCTTGTGTTGTGTTCACGTCTGTGTCAGTTCTAGCTTCCCTTTCTGTCCGTGTTCTTCACTTCCCATCTTATTTTGCTTGTCCTTCGGCTTGCGTTAAGTTCTGTCCTGCTGTCACTTCAGCACTCCAGTGTCCCACAGCCCTAGTGTGTGTTTTAGCTTCTGTGGATACCCACACTTGATGAATTAATGATTCTTCTTTAGTTTATCACAGTCTGCATTCTGGGGCCTCACTCGCCTCCCTCACAGTTTTATAGTTTGAAACACTTGAGCTCACGCACCGCAGTAGGTTCAGGCCTACAAACTAAATTCACGGCATGACTGTGGAATATCTGTCACGCCATCTCCACACGCAGCGTGGAATAACTTCTTCATCTTCAATACATAAAAGAAGACAGATATAACACACATACTGATGGGCTCAAAGCAGCACGTCATGCACGTGTCGTGTGACCATCACAGCTAAATACTAAATACTTTGTTTTAAAAAGTAAAGCAAAGTATTCCTCTGTATTTGAATTATGAAGGGATTATGTTCCTGAATGTTTAAACGTGAATTCTTTATGTTCAGAATAACAAAGAAAATGAAATGATTTCACTGATTTTAAAGTTTAGACTTTGTGTTAAACCATGTAAGTCAGATATATGAGTTGTGGGTGGACATCGGATGATTACATGTCAACAACTTTATTAGACGACCAAAATGTGAAGATGTGACGTCCGGTGAAGGAAGGTGGAGGACGGGTGAGCAGGTGTAAATGTGGGGTGTAAAAGAGATTCTTCCTTTAGTCTTCTGTGCAATGAGCAGTTCAGAACATTGGATCTAAACAGGTCACCGTTTAAACTCCCCGCAGAGACGCGAGAGGGGGAACCGAAGTCCAACCTGTGAACTCATTAATCGATTTTGGGATTTTGTCTTTTCATCAGCTCATTTTTGCCGTGTTAGATGGTTGAATTGACCACATCACACTTCGACTGAATGCTGCTTTCCTATTGGGTGATTATCATGGGGATAAGTGCATCTTTGGGCCTAGTTGAGATTCAAGATTCTTTATTTGTCCCGTGCATGGTTATACAGGTGTAACACGCAGTGAAAGGTGACCTGATACGCTCCTCTGTGCAGAGAAAAAAAGAGCCTATATACAGTGAATGAGTATATACAAGTGGGTGAGTTATGTACATTATATAAATAGAAATAAAATAAAACAATTGGATGTGCTCATCGATCTCCAAGCTCTCCTCACCAAAGACAAGAACAAACTCAGCTCAGAGTTAGTCGGATAAGTATTCAGGTGATTTGATGATTGTTTTGTGATTTTGTTTGTTTGCTTCGTCTCCTGCGAAACTTCTTTGATAACATTTCCTGCAATTAAAGTCTAAATTGTGGAAATGGACCTTTTAAGCTTTTGTGAAATAGTAAAGGTAACAGTCTGAGCATTATTCTTTATTCCTGTAAATAGCTCACACAGGCTGGCCTGGCAGTCAAAAATAACCTTTCCTCTGAGCCTGCTGTCAATTCTACTAAAATAATCCCAGAAATTACAAGTGCCACGATCCATGGGGGAGCTACAGGTGGCACTGATAGAATTTGGCTATTCAGGTTTCTTTTCTTTTGTCTGGAGGGAAGACACCCGGATGACTCGGAGGCAGTTAGGACTGGGCGACTGGACAAACCCATCCACCATTAATGCCACAACAATACTCCACAGTGACACTGTTTCTTTGTGTTTAAATAAAAAAGAGGTAAGCATAGAGTGAGGGTTAGGGAGGTGAGGCAATACAGCCGGCTGACTGCCGTCTAATTCCATGAACATGAAGACCAAGTTTGAGGGACCTCGTGAAACAGTTTTGAATCATTTGACAGTCAGTATTTTTTGCTAGTTTGTGTCTACGTGCAGCGCCAGCACAGTTTATCCACGCAGCTCGCTAATCTTAGAACTATCGTCTTTTGTCAAAATATGGTCACAAAAGTCAACGTAGCCGTGGTTACAGGATAACATCGAGCCATCAAGATGCCAAATCCAAATGATGGAGGTGACATCTTTTACATAGAGTCTATGATTTAAACCAAAATACGAGATTTTTCCAAACCGAGCAGACACGACGTCTAAACCAGACGATGAATAGCGGTCCTCTTGCAGATACATACAAATGCACACAGTGTGTGTTTTGACTGCTTGGCTGGGAAAGCACAAATACGTGCATGCACAAACACATACACTCAGAGCTGACCTTTGCGTTGTGCCCTTCCATACCAACGGCCATTAGCTGAGCTACTGTGTGTTCCCGCAGGCTGTTGAGCTCCGCCTGCTGCCGGCGAAGCTTGATCAGCAGCAGTGTCAGCTCCTCCGGCTGCACAGAGCAACACACAGAGAACCACTGCAATGCATTTCTGGCTCATTTGCTAGAACAAATTAAAGGCAACACATAATTCCAGCATTACAAGATAAAGTATTTATCAACACGAGATGAGTCCTTGTTGTGAAGGTAGAATGACACTGAGTGAAACGCCACGACATTTCTGTTGATCAAGTGTGAGCTCAGAGCTTCACTGTCGCCACACATGGAGCCTACCACACAACTTCAGAGCAAAGACCAACACACACACGCACGCACGAACGCGCACACACACACACGCAC